TATTTTATTTCTATATAGTTATTTTATTTCTATATAGTTATTTGTAGGAGTGCAACGAATCACAAAACTTGAAACTGTAATGTACAATATACTACTGTAACTAGAAAATAATAATAATAATAATAATAATAATAGAATAAATAATAATAATTGAAAGTGATTTACATTAGAGTTTTTGAGTAACAATTATAAGTAGCACCTACTTAGTTTTTTAAGTTACAGAAACATTCCTGATTAATAACTTTCGACTAGGTATTTTGTTTTCACAGTACAAAAAAATTACAAAATTACGTCACCGCCATTTAAAATGACTAAAGCTCGCAATCAAGAATGTTTTTTACTTCAACATTTTTTGTTAGTTTTACAAAAAACAAATAAAACAATGTTCTGAGTTAACAGAACGTACCTGGTTTCACAGTGTGTGTATATACTGTACAGTTTGCAATACATATAATAGATTACTATACATTATAGAGTAAATACACTTTGTAGTCTCACTCAGTGTCCCTCTCACAGTCTGATCTGATTGGTTACACGTCGTGTAACCAATCATCAACTCTGAAAGCTGCTGGTCCACAGACAGACAGAGACTGGAACGTCACGCTCTTACGATCGATTTCTGTGATTACAAGCATACCAGTTATCCATATCCATATATCTAAACACCCACAATACATACATAGTAAAATACTATAGATGGAGGTAGCATGCTGTAGGGAGAGAAATGTGTTTGTTAGGTGATACGTAGTGGCTCATTATGAGAGTGAACGGAGCTCCATGGAGATGAGTTCACATCCTAAACTGCGCTGGTGTAGAACAGTTCAATGTTTAGAAAAGTGGAAAAAGAGTGAATTAGAGGGAGAGAGGCCACAGAGCCCCTGGGGTTCGGAAACTTCTGGCCAGGAACAGCTAAATGTAGTGTTTAATGGTTTGGAATGAGCGCCGGATGAATACTGATGAGCATGAATTGTAGGAACTAATCAATGTGTGACACATTTGCACTCAAGTCAAAATGAGGCCTGTTTTGTACCTCCCAAAATAAACCAAGGTAAAATTCCCCAGACTCTTTAAGCCATCCACTGTGCTGATTAAATAAAAACCAGAGGCTCTGTATAAAAACGGTTTTCCCTGAATCAGGTATGTATTACAGTCATACGCAAATCACACATGCAAATTTAGCACTGTAGAATTGCTTTCGTCAAACGGGGAAATAAGTATAATTTGAAAACCGCTGGTGAAATTTGGCCTGTCGCAACTGACATCGGTATAAAAACCATTTCCAGCAACCCTCAGGCACAGACAGGAGGATGTGCTGCATGCTGCCACGGCCTCAGTCCAGGCA